GAAAACTCTACTACAGGTTCGCTGTTCCGTGGTTGCTACCATGTTCTGTTGGGTATGATTTCAAACAATGTTTCTATTAGAGAAAATTAAAAGCACCACAAGTCTGTCAAAATCTGTAGTGGCGAATCATAATTTTATGTGCAATTCACCTGCTGCGTACATGTACCTACGGTTGTCCCATGTATGCTCACCTAACCCAATCGCACGGTGACATGCACGGAGACATGTGACCACAGCTTTGTACATTAGAACTATTGCAACTGTTTTTCTCAAACCTACGACGTACAAGTGTATGGTGTTATCGTCGTGGACAAAAATGCGGTATAGGAAAACTGACCATGAAGTCATTATAATTGACGCAATAGTGATATTTTCAATCATTAAAAAGACGACGTGGGTCATGGAAAGAGTTATTCTCTTGAGGGAAGGGCTGTTGTTCTGACTAGTTTGCCCAAGAAAAGTGCTATCACCTGTAGGTGGTAAATCTGTTGATCGATTGTCCTTCAGCCTTAAGGATATAACTGAATAGATTTCAACTGCAACATGGTTGCACAAAAGTCATAAAAATGCAGATTCTACAGAGTTTTTCAAGCCTGATACAGCTGGACTACATTGTAAATGTCCAACATTTTTGCAGGAGAGTGCCGACAAGTTGTATTGCATCAAAAGTGTTGTTAAATCTACATAGTGAGGCCCCCGCTGTATTTGCTGGCAATGGTCTTCACCGTATGATAGTTCTCTGAATAAAATTTTTAACGCTTACCGATTTAGAAATTATGATGATTCTTAGTACTGAACAAGCCAGACGCTAGCACAAAGTAGTAACACATCTTACAGTTAAATTTTGTGCTCAAGACTGTCCTAGAATATCACAATTTTTTTGCTGTCATTCACAAATTTGTAGTGTTACACACCTGCGATAGAAATGAACACTCGTATAAGAACATCAATTCTGTCAAGAAGTTTCCCATACGTACATGTATTCACACACTCAGCTTTCTCTACAATTTCACATTGCTGTAATGTAAAAGGTCCATTAATTGTGGAAAAATCATTACACCCAACTATTGAGTGCATGGCAAAAGAAATCAGTTGTATCCCACGAGAGTGTATATGAAGATTGCTCAACCAATATAGCAGGGTTACCGTTAATTTTTTTATATAAAACCCTCTCAAACGGTCTGAATTGATACCTGATGTAACAACAGAAGCAGTCGGAGTACTTTTGGTAATGATTCATATCAAGTTAAGGCAGCAATTTCAACATTTCTTTCAAGATTGCTTTATAAATCTTGAGATTATTTAAACAATCTTGATATTTTTCAAAGCATCTCGAAATACTATGGAAAAATCTCAAGATTCTTTGAAAAGATCTTGGAAAGATCTTGAGACCTTTTCATTTTCATCTCAAGATTTTATGAAAGATCTTGAGATTGTCATGAAAGATCTCAAGATTTCGTATAAAATATTGAGATCTTTGGAACAAATCTTGAGATTTTTCAATTTTCAACGAAGTGTAAAGACCCCCGCTGGGGGTCATTATGATCCGCTATGTAACAGAGAAGTTTTTGACAAAAGATTGGATATGTACCTGTAAGCTATAAACGGTTAGAGGCATTAGTCCAAAGTGCTCTGCTCATTCCAATAATAATCTGCTCGGTGTTAATATCAAATTGTCGGCCAATACGTTTGTTGGTTTACCTGCAGCAATAAGTGAAGTCCTCTCCAAACCACGCCACTCCAACTGTCCCGCCATTTTGTTGTCCAAAATTCACCAGGTCAGGAAATCCGCATTTTCTCTTCAAATCGTCACCAGAACGGCACAAATCCACAGCGAAAACTTCCCCAACGCTCTGCTGCACAGATAAGAAAACATTCCACCGGCAAAAACTCGAGAAAGTACCCGAAAAGTTGACAAAAATTTTAGCCTAGAATATTCCTGTCGTGCGAGAGCGCCATTTTGAATGGACTACGCCAAATGTGCTTTTACACAGGTGTGGAAAACAGCTGTGTCTATTAAATTAATGTGGAACCGGTAATCTATTTACGAATGGATGAAAATGCAGCTGCATGGTAACTTCAGTATTCCTTTCATTGACAAACAATTTCACGAATAATATTTATGCCACCACACGATAAAATACAACACTTTGTCCGATTTTCTTATTAGACTAAATTTTTCGTTTACATTTAACGTTACCGGTTTTTTCGTGGGGACTGCGTTTCACGGTAGAATGAAGACCTTCCACACACAGGCAGGCAAACATATCTGTCCTTGGTGCTGAACACCATCCATACACAGGAAAACAAACACTTGTGCACTTTTCCCGGGTAGAAGATTAAACAAAACATTAACAAAAGCTCCTATTGTGCCACATTTATTTCCTAAGCTAGAAAATGAACAATTAACGAGCCGTACGATGGTAAACAAAGTACATGGATTAAAAGCGACCTCTAGCAGTTTAATACAGGACTGCACCATAACGTTGGTTCGAGCGGGAGCTGGAGCAAAGTAAGTGTGTGTGTGTGTTTGTTTGTGTGTGTGTGTGTGTGTGTGTGTGTGAGTGTGTGTGTGTGTGTATGATGTAACACCTTTCAACGTGCATGGTATATACAACCGAATCACAAACTTTTACACCATGGTTTGTCTCATAAAATGAGTTAAACTTTAGGAAAGAAGAGTAAGTGCGTGCATAATGTGGTGACAAACTTCCTAACTCTTCACCATGGTTGGGGAGTGTTTGGAAGTGTTTGGGAGGCCATATTCGGCTATGTGTGTCAGGGGCTTATAATAATGGTGAGTTCTGGTCGTAACACCTCTAATTTATACAGTGATAAAGAATGACCAGTTACAGCACAGGTACAATATAGATATGATGATTGTATTTGATATATATCACTATATCACAAATTGGCACATGGAAAGACAAGCAGCTTGTCTGCTAAACCACTGTCAGTAAAATATGAATCATCAGTTCATGTAGTACTCCAGAATGGAATGAGGCCTTTCCCAAGAGCATTCTCATACTTTGCACAAACTTGCTATTTACATTCATCAAATTTAAAAAATACTTGACATACATCTATCTACATGTAGCTAAAACTATCAGCTGGACTCCAGGCTAATACACAAATGAATCTTTTTAATTGAAAAACATCCACATGTAGTTCTGAGAAGACACACTAAACTGAATTTCCTTGCATCGTGCAGTGAAAAGTAGGACCTACCAGGTGCTTTCATTCTATGTGAAGTCTCTTTTAATGATGAATATGTCTGAAATTTTTTCTAAAACAAATGAATAACTAACTAAAAAGACAGATACATGTATTTCTAAAAATAGTATGAGCAGTAATAGGACTATACTTCTTGTTGTATCTTGAACGATCATAGAAAAGTTTCCTCCCGCCATATTCATCAATACACAAATTGTACACAGATCTACAGTTATTATGCAAAGATAAACCTTACAGTAAAAGTTGTACAGATTGTCAAAGAAGAAACCAACAGATCTGTGTTTTTTATAATGACTTCTCCCTGGGCTACAATGGTTGTATTATGGTAAACTTGTGTCCTAATCAGCATTGAAAGTGATGTATACTGAATTCCTGATATGCATAGAAGAGTCAACCATATATTGAATGGTACACATCATGGATAGAGAGGTAGGTACTACTGACAGCATTACAAAACTAGAGTTCCACGATCTCATACCTTCGCCAAATGATGTTAGCCTTTATGAATAAGAAATATACTAATCACCCTGATTATGCAAATAGGATCCTCAATTGCATGAATTATATCAGTCTGTTGATCATATTCTCCACCAAAAGACAGTCTTATCTTAACAAAGAATGCCATTTTCTCATAAATTATGCAAATGTGGTCCTTATTTGAATAAGTTATGTTTAATTATGTTCACCTTCACTTAACTTTCAAACACCCCAAGTATGAAATTCCAGGCAGTTACCACTATGCAATTATAACATTTTCTCATTAATTATGCAAATTAAGTCTTCATTTGCATAATCGATATTTGCCTGTGTTTCTCTCGTTCTTAATAACATATGTTACAAGCTTGAACTTCCTATCATGGAATGCAGCTGATTTATAGAATTTCCTCATTAATTATGCAAATTACATCAATATTTGCATAACTGTAATATAATTATGTCAAGCATCACTTAAGCTACCTACATACCAAAAATCACGATGATCCATCAATCGGTTCTTGAGTTATCCTCTTTTAAACATTTGTCCTTTAAACCCCCTGCAGTTCTAGAGCAAGCAACTAGGGGGCTCAAACTTATGTCACTTCATCCCCAGCACAAGAGCTATCTACCATCTAAATTTCGTCACCCTAGCATGTCTGGATCATGAGATATCAAAACCGGAAGTTCTGCTGCAGTACCATGACAAGCCGCCAGGTGGCCCAAAATCTAATCATTTTGAGGTCTCATCAAGACCTACCCACCTACCAAATATCAAGTCAGTCCATTTAAGCCTTCTCAAGTTATCGTGTTGACAGACACACACACACACACACACACACACACACACACACACACACACACACATACACGAACGCCTCTGAAAACATAACCTTCTTGGCGAAGGTAACTAGGTCATAAAAAAGCAAGGTAAAACCTAAATGCAACATGTCTCTTGGAATTTGATGATACGTTGACTTATAAGTTATGTGCTTGCATGAAGACCGTGAAAAAGTAGCTGAAGGGTATACATGAAACCGTCTGAAATGACTCTCATACATGTAAAAGATAAATCCACCATTTATTAACTTGTACATTTGCATGTATCAACATTCTGATCAATCTACCATTCAGGTGTACATGTACAGTGTGCATTTTTGACTACCTGTAAGTGGGTAAAAAAATGTAAAGAACAAGTCTTCAGCTAAACTCATTTTCAACGTCTTTGCAGGTTTGATCTAAATATACATTGTATCTCATAGTGGCACAGTGCAGCCTTCTGTTGTTGTTTCTATCTCACACTAGCAGCATTAGAGAGCTGGCTCCTCAAAACAGCAGTCTGTAGTAGTCATCTTTGTAGCTGAACAACACTGAGACAGGAACCCTGAGGACAAAAACAGTATAGATTGTTTCTTTCACATAACCAGTCAATCGCCTTTATGCATAACATGCCAGTTTCCTACACTGTCAGTTAGTACAAGCTGAGTAAGACCGGACTGTAAGGTTTGAACCACTCACACCAGCAAGGACCCCTACTCTTTTTGATAAGTGCTGTCATGGCTATGGGATCTTTATAATTATAACATTTTCGAAGTGTGGTTCTTCTCATCAGACACTGAACTTCCACCTTTATATAATTCCCATTTGAGATGATGTCCCATTTGAGATAACTGAAGCTAGGTACTCATTTTCAGCAGAGTCAAATACACTGTTAAGTCATAAGGTTAAGGGCACATGAATGGGGCCTGTGAGGGACTTATGCCCTGACTCATTATATTCTAAGTCAACAACCCAAACCAAAAGACCATGACTTTGTGCACCCTGCCACCTGTTGGTACATATTGTTTAACTGGCATCCATGGCCATTTTTACTTTTTTTCTTCCTGCGATGTCCAGGTCACTCAAAAAATTGTTTTGGTTTGATCACAAGTAGCATCAAAGTTACCAAGCAAGACAGACAAAAAGTTGTTCCAATCTGCACACATGACATATGACAATATACTCACTCAGCATCTATCTTGACTTCTCGGATGGTTTCACAGATCCGAGACAGGTACTTCTTCTGTTTGGGCTGTTTGGACATCAGGGTGTGCATGCTCTCCTCAAACACATCCTCATCATCAAACTGGGGAGAAGGAGGCAGGTACAAGAAAGTCTCAGATATCATTATTTCAAACATGCATATGGTGGAACATTATTCCCCAGTAAATGATAAACATTGTAACAGGTCGACATATAAAAATTATACACTTTCAATATATGAGGGAGTAATCAGTCCAACATTGAGTTGTTAGGCCTAGGAAAAATGGTGTCATTACAAGTATTTCTGGGTTTTTGACTGTCCAGAGAAAAAAATCCTGATCCTAGCTTCTTTTGGGGGGAGGGTGAGAGCAGGCAAGACAATAAAATTTTACATCTGAGTATTGAGTAAATCAAGATAAAAATTTGTCCCTTTCCCACAAGCAAACTGAAGGACGGGTCCTGTGGGTCCTGGAGACAAAGGGGACTGAAGGAAAAAAACAGATAGTACGTATAGGTACATGTACAATAGTATTACCTCAAGTGTTGCAGCAATTGTCTTCACCAGCTGGGACTGTAACTCCACCTGCAAGGGGTTATACATAATGTCATGTCACTCACACTCACTATCATTATCCAGGATTTGCAGAAAATGAAATGCACTTCATAATGGGCTATATTTGCATAAAATCAAACTTAAAGACACTTAACAGAACAGAATTAAGAATGTTACGACAATGGACAATTGCCTGACTGTGTAACATACATGTATATACATTTTTTTGTACTTACAGCAACAACCTCCACTACAGTCTTAGGTGCAATGGTACCCTGAAGCACTGGCTGTAGTCGAGACAGTATCTGACAGAAGAAGAGAACTTTTATTATTTAAAACAATATGAAATCAGATTTCAGACTTCTAGGAGACCTCTGGCTATGAGGTAAACTTGTATCTGTATGCTCACGCCCTAAAACTGATTGCCAAGGTACAGATGTTCCCCTCAAAGTATGTTTTCATTGTTTTCAGTGAGTTGATCTTCCTTTTCAGAATCGTATTTTAAAATCCAAGAAAAACCTAGCATTAAAGATGTTTCTAGTTCTGAAGACTATTACTGGCACATCTGTCTTCCTACCTGAGCCTCAAATCTTCTCCTGTTGTTGGATGACAGCTTGTCCAGAGGAATAAACGTTACATTGATGGGTGGTCCGCTCTTCAACTTGTTTGTGTTGGGTTCATCAGCACCTAGTAAAAAACATTTCAATGTTGTAAACAGACATAGAAACAAACATAGAACAGGAAACTGAAGGGAGAGACATGCAGTGACATGAAGATGAAACACTTCACTATGTTCTACATTGGCAGAAGGTACTGCACCTGCACGAAATCTTGAATGTAACGTGACGGTATAGCACTTCAGTCCACAGTATTAATTGTTTCACACAGTGTCCCATACTTAAGGATGACATCCTATCTGTTGTTTTCAAATGTTCTCAAATTTTGATGCAACGTTAACCAAACTTCGTTTTGCACAGACGCAGTACATGTACATAATCTGCTGACACCCACATACCTGCTGTGCTGCCACTCTTGCTTGTGTTGCTCTGCCCAGTGTCTGACAACTCTCTAACACGGTACAAAAACAAGAAAAGAAACAAAAGATTGTACACTGTTCAGCATACTGTACTATGTTATACAATTTGCCAATGGTTTTATAGTTTCCAACAATAAAAGGCAAAAAAAACAAAACATGAGTGCAATATTCCTTAAGCTGCAGTAATACCTAAAGTATACATTACATACTTTGTGATTTACATTTAGATGGTGATAGAAAAACTTGTCTTCTGTCCATCCTAACCAAGAAATGTTCTAACCAAGAGAAACACAAAGAAGGACAAAGTAACACTGACTGTTTTCCTGCCAGGAGTTTCTGCTGCAGACAGTCCACCAGGTCAGACACTGATACCTTCTTCTCCACAACCTTGTCTTTGTCAAACGATCTCACCTGCATATTTCACAGAGATAAGAGATGTATGACATTGATTTATTGTTACCTTATAACCTCATTTACTACTAATCAGATTCTGTAATAGCAAGGTTTAAGCCTCCTTGGTAATAGCAAATCTAATTATTTTCTTAAATCCTCATTGAATTCTCATCTTCACAGGCTGCTAGCTACATGTATTGTATAATGATAAGTCTGAGCTAAGTACTAGAAATTCTAAAAGACACTGAGCCAGACAAATACTACGGTTACTATATAGTGACTGGTAGTCATGATCAGACAGAGCAGGTGTCAGACTCACCCTGACCATGTCACTCTCATGGTCCTTGATGTTGAGGATGACCATGTGCAGGATGCCTGCCTGTTTACAGTGGTCCTGGATTTCCTCTGGAGACTGGGCAGGAGACAGGAACAAAAACTAACATTTATGTGAAGCTTTGATGATCCATACTGATTCAATCATTGATATTGTGTGATTAATATCATACCTAGGCCAAGATAACATTTCATACAGCTGTTCCGGCATGTGTAATAACCTTTCTAATGATACAGTAGAATGCACTGTGTTGTATTCTATTATTTATCTTCAGGTAAGGATTTGTAACAAATACATGTACAGTAACTGTTTTCTGTGTCACAGTGATCTTAGACAGAGATTGAGAACATTGAGAACAAAGTGACATCAAACACATAATGTTGATTTTTACACTTTGATATCCACAAGACTCTACATCTAAATTCCATGACTTAGTATACATGTAACTACTTTTTTGTAGAATGTTACATGATTGTGGAACAGAATGTTAAATGATTGTAGAACACTGCTCATGCTACATGTACATATTGATCTGGTTCTATACCACAGGATTAAGGAATTTATGGTACACAGGATTACAGTAAGACCTTCAATCAGCTCCAGCTATATCTAGCAATCTTAACCCTTGTCCTGCTGGCATTCCTGACACAATATTTTTCAATATTTTCATGTCTTAATTAGATTTTAAAAAACTAATTTTTTTTGCCCTGCAGTGGCATAGTTACTTCCGCATTCGTTGCGTTTCGCTGCAGTGTAATCCGTTGCACGAGAAATACCCCCAAATCGTACCTATGCAGGGTGTTATATAGATGGTACTGAATGTGCCGCGCAACATATGTTGCGCACAGCAGGACAAGGGT